CAGACAGGCAACATGATACCAGGGAACGTCATTCCGCTATAAAAAGGAATGAAGCACCAACACGTGCTGTAACACGGACGAGCCTTGAAAACACACAAACATGCTAAGTGAAAGAAGCCGGTCACAAAAGGCCACGTATTGCACGATCCCATCTCTGGGGAATATCCAGAGGCAGCAAATCCGTCAAGACAAGGAGCAGCCTAGTGGGTGCTCAGGATGGGGGGAGGTGGGTGGGCAGTGACTGCTAACGGGTGCGGGGCTTCTTTCTGGGGTGATGAGGATGTTCCGGAGTTACCGGGGATGGTTGTGCAACTTTACGAATATACTAAACGGCACTCAACTGCACACTTTAAATGGGTGATCATAGCAAGTAAAACCTTAAAAAAGCTGGTACACGAATGAACGAATACGGTACAAGTTCCAGCTCAACCCCGTGTAGAAAGGTCACACTCTGGAGGTTCCGAGGCGTGGGGAATGTCGACTGTGAAAATGCTCTGGCCCAAACCCAGCAAGACTCCCACGGCACATGAGGATTTTACGTTCCAGTGCTCGGGACAGACAAGCACATCCTCAAGGATGTCTGCAATCACCTATCTGGACACGATGAGCCACCACAAATGGGCTTCAGTTGCCATCCTCCCCCAGCTCCTGGAACCTGCCAGAAAAGTACGAAGCAGCCCTGGTCTAGGGAGTCCTTTTCCCAGTCTGGCCCACACTCTGCCCTGTTGTCGGCTTTGTGGCCAGTGTCTGCCTCCGTGGGCCCACCCGGGTGCCTGCTGGCTCCTGGTGTGCATCATCTCTTGCCGCCCGGAACCTTAATCCAGCCTTTGCTCTCAGGGCGGTTAAGGCAGAGACAGAAGGAAAGGATTACGGTGTTAAGAAGTCGGAACTGAACATAAGTAAAGACAACCACGTGCCCTGGCAGAATGCTTTCCACCCTCGGCACTGCAGCCTTCTGCTGGGCGGTGAGGATGTCTTTGTCCGTGGACGAGGCGTCCTCAGGTCGCTCACGGAGCACTGCCGGGAGTCTCTTCTGGCCGGCTGGCATCCACACGGCTTCTTTATTTTACGTGACCTCATTCCCGGGGCTGTGGCTCTGCCCAGCAGGCGCTCGTGCTGCATCAGGAAGGTGCAAAGAGAAGTGCCCAGGGACACTCAGGGCAGGCCTCCGAGTTACCATGGCAACTCCCTAGGATGCATCCTGCATTCATTGCATGGAGCTAAGAGGGGTAAAATGCAAGAGGAAGACCCTTGAAGAAGCACTGCCTTCTTCCCCGGTGCCCAGCTCTGGCCCTGGGTCCAGCTCCATGTGGGCATCTGCAGAGCGTGAGCTCCTTGAGTGTAGACATCACGTCTGGCCCCTGTCCCCAGATGCTGAGCATGGAGGACCTCGAGGTGGGATGCCTGGAGGTCGAGAACCACGGGTTGGCAGGCAGCCGACTCGGATCTGAATCCCAGCCCTGCAGCTCACTGGCTGTGTGGCCCTGGCTCAGTGGCCAAGCCTAGCTGGGTGCTCCTTTCCCGCCTATCTGAAGGTGCAGCACCACACCCCAGAGGCCTGCAGAGGGTCTGGGAGGAAACCGCGTGGCCAGGCTGGGCACCGGGTCTGGCACGACGGGGTGGGCACTTAGTAAGAGCATGATGGCCTGGCTCAGGATGAGCCTTGCTTAGCTTACTTTCCATCCCAGTGGGACACAGGACCCCCAAGCTGTCCCTGAGCTCCTACAGTGGAGGGAAAAGCCACCCAGCCTCCCGTGGATGAGGTTCTCTGTCCCCAGGAGCTTCTCTAAGCTTCTCTCTCTGCATTCCTGAGACGGCAGCTCCAGGCTGGCCCTACTAGGATGACTCGTAGGGGTGTGGTCACCAGCTCTAGCATCTGGGTCTGCCCGGTTCTGCCAGCTCTGCTCAGCCACCCCTCCAGCTCACACACACCTTTTACTTTGCCAGGACATCCTCCTTGCTGTGCCACTCCTCCAGCAGAAGGCTTGGCTGTTAGGGTGGCCTGAGGGGAGAGGGGGAAAGAGGAGAGGAAATGGCAGGGAAGTGGTAAGGGGGAGGGAGGGGGGAGAGGGAAGGAGGGGAGGGAGGATGCAAGAACTTCAGCTCACTGGCACTCACTCATGGAGCCTCCTAAGAAAGCCACCCTGCAGGGTCCTGCATGGAAGAAAATGGACCTCAACTGGATCCACAGGGAGCAGGTTGCACTCTGCGAGAATTCCAAGTTGTGAAAGCCCAACTCTGCCCTCCTTCCCTACCCCACCGTTAGCCACGTGTGGGTCACTGTGCCCTGAGCACACCCTCTCTGGGCCTTCAGTCCTCCCTGCCAGAAGTAAAGCCAGTGCTGAGCTGCCCGGCCCAGACCTGCCCCTCTCAGCTGCTTCCTGGCTGCTCTGTGCACCTGGGCGGTGGAGGGCTCCTGCCCAGCAGGGTGAGCCCCTCCCTGTGCCAGATGCTGAATGAGAGGAGGGGACAGGGAGGTCCTGCCTCACTGACACGTGCCCACACTTCGGACCACTGAGTCATTTTACCTGGGGACCGCCTACCTACAAATGTTCTCTGAGTCAGCGCACCTGTTTTGTGTAGCTCCTACTAAGCAATGCCTGTGAGACCAGTGGCTGTGCCGATCCTTCTTTCTCAGGTGTATGTTTGAGGCACAGAATGCTTTTCCGTGGTGGCACACCCTCGCCTGCTGCAGGACACTGGTCCGTGTTACCCCAGCTAGACTGGTAGCGCAATGCAGGGGGTCCCACCTCCATGTCTTCACATGTCCTTCCTGGAAACACTTTTCTACTTACACACAGTGGGTGCTCAGTAAGTGGCTCGTCGCTGCCGTCGCTGCCTCTGTGGTCCCCACATGTGAGCCCCTAGCCACTCTGAAGCTCTTCATAGGGATGATCTTCTGGGGTCAAGTCCACCAGTGAGATGGGCAGGCAAATGGAGAAACTGAGGCAGGCAGTCTGACCTAGCCCCAGCTCATTTCTCTACATCTCTCAGCTCACTGGTCTAAGGCTTGGTGATGACCAAGTGGGTGGGCTTTTCAGATCTGTGCACAGGCGGAGAGTTGTTTATTGTGAAGGTACTGGACCATGTGCCCTAGCCGGGAAAAAAAATGGCCCCAACGGACTTCTAGGTCAAGTTCAGGTCCAGCACAACTGCTCCCCTTCTCAGACCTTTCCCAAGTGCACTTCACTTTGGACCAGACACCAGGGAATGAATGGCAGGATCTGCGTTCCTGGACCTGGGCATTGCTTGTATTTTTAGCCTTGGCTCTGCCTGGGCACTTGCACGGTGGCTAATGTCCTCAGGGAATCACGGGGTGCACGTCCAAGAGCCTGGTGAGCACTTGGAGGTTCCTCCCACCTGCCCACCCTGGGTCCTGGGGCTCAGGATCAGCTCCTGTTGGTGAAGGATCCCCACCCCCAACACACACAGAGGCTCCTGGCTCAGAGACTGGGAGGGCAGGTGTGAGGTAGAATCTGTGACCTGGGATTCCTCATCTGGAAAGTGGGGGAGGGAGAACTTGGGCTCCACACGGATTCACCAGGCCAGAGGAGGAGACTTGGATGGCACCTGCTCCAGAGAGGCGCAGCCCTGCCTGTCCGGGTGCCGAGGCTGTGCTGTGCCCAGACGGAAGCGCAGAGTCTGGATCTTACTTCCCAGGGGCCAGATGCCAGCCTGGACACCACCTGTCCTGGGCTGAGCGAACTCTGTGGCTTTGCTGTCTCTGTTCTCTTCCTGAGCACGCTTTTCTGGGAGCCAAGAAGCAATTCTGGAATGTTCAGGTAAATCTTGGCAGATGAAATTATCCACCCTTTTTCCAGCTTCCTGCGTTCCTTTCTTTCTCAAAGGCACGTTCTCTTCCTGGACACTGGTGGCTGCTGGTGGGGCCGGTGGCTTCACAGAAGGTAGAAGACGGTGCGGTGCGGTGCCTGCAGTGGGACTCCGAGGCCCAGGTGCGACTTACCTGCCCGCGACGCTGCTGTTTCACAGGGGCAGCACCTGTCTCTCGGCACGGTCAGAAATGCAGTTTGGGTCCTGACCAAGCCCACACTTAACAGTGAAACAGACGCCTCACAAAAGAGTACTTATCTTACCCCGTTTCATTTTTATAAAACGCTAAGTGTCTCCGCGGACCCAGCAGCGGCCCCTGATCCGATGCTGCTCGCGGTCGGGAGACGGCGCAACCCACGTGTACCCGCGGGTCCCAGCGGCCGGGTTCATCCTGAGGACAGGGACGGGGACGGGGACGGGGACAGGACCGGGACGGCTCGGCCGGCGGGGCGGGACCGGGCACAGTCCTCGGCAGGCTGTGCTTAGCGCCGCCCGCTGGAAGCGCGCCCCTCCCCCGCCCCGGGCTGGGGGCGGCCAGGCGCCCGGAAGGCGAGGGTTGGGGGCGCCGGCCCAAGCTGGGGGCAGCCGCTGGGTCCCGTGGTCACAGGAAGCGAAACTGAGGCGAGGAGCCCGCCCGCGAGCTCGCGGCGCCGGGACAGGGCGGGACGGCACGCGCAGTGGGCGGGGCGAAGACGGTCCCCACCCACCGAGTTTGCAAACAGCGGCTGCCCCCGCCCTCCCCGCGCTGGGTCTAGCGCTCGCAGCCCCGCGCGGGGCCCGCCGGGAGCCGGCCGAGGAACGGGGCGGAGAGCCCGGGGGCCCGCCTCCGCCGGCGGCCCTCGCTGCGCAGGCGTGGCGCGCGGGCCCGCCCCCTGGCCGGCGGCGCGGCCATATTTAAAGGGCGGCGGGCGGGACGAGCCAATGGGCGGCGCGCGTGCAGGGGCGGCGCGTGGCGGCTCGAAGCCCCGGATGTGGCTGCAGCGGCCCCTCCTCCCCAGCGCTCCCCTCAGAGGCCCGGCCGCGCGCCCCTCCTTCGTTCGCTCGGCGCCCGCGCAGGCCCCTCGGGCGGCGGCGAGGAGGCGCCCCGGCGGCGGCGGCGGCGGCGGCGGGGCGGAGGAGCGCAAGAGCGGGCGGCCAGGCGACCGCGCGGCGGCGGAGCGGCCCGCGGCCCGGCGCTCGTCCCCCCCCGCGGCCCGGCGCGCACCGGCCGCCGCCATGAGCGGCTCGTCGGGCACCCCGTATCTGGGCAGCAAGATCAGCCTCATCTCCAAGGCGCAGATCCGCTACGAGGGCATCCTCTACACCATCGACACCGACAACTCCACCGTGGCGCTCGCCAAAGGTAGCGGCCGCCGCCCGCCCGCGCGTCCCCGGCCCAACCGCCCGCGCCCGCCGCCCGGGCCAACAACCCCACGCCGGACGCCCGGGCGTTGGGACTCCCGCCCGTACCCCGCCCTGGGCGCCGGGGCCTGCGTCGGAACCCTCGCACCCTCACCCCGGACGCCCCGACTCGCGCGCCCGCCGGGTCCCCGCCGCGGGGCGCCCCCTCTGCGCCGCCCTCCCCCGGCGCGCCCCGCGGGCACAATGGTCTCCCTCGGCTCCCCGGCGGCCTTATTGTGCACGGGCGCCCGGCCGGCGTTGGGGGAGGGGCGGACCCAGCCCCGGCGGCGGCGCCCCCCTCCCCGGCGTAGCCCACCTCTGCAGGTGCCGGCTGGCAGGGGCGGCCTCCCCCTCCTCTCTGGGGGATCCCTGCGCGGAGAGGCCAGGCCGGGTGAAGGGGCTGGGTGTCGCCGCGCGTCCTCGAAAGGCTTGGGGGAGGTGAGCAGGCGCGAAGCCGGCTTGCTCTTCTGGAACCTATTAGGCGACTCGGGCTTGATCGTGAACAAATTCCGGGTCCTAACGGAACCTCCTGCCGGAATGTGAGCATCAGTTGACAACTCGATGCCCCCAATTTATCCTCATTCGGACTCTCCCACTGCGGGGCTCCACCCTTTTGTGACAGACCCCTGTGGGCACCGACGACCCGCCCGTGAGACTTAGGGGAAGAGGGCTCTTTTGTGACTCTAGAGAAGTCACGGAGAACCTCTGAGCTTGTCGAGGCAGTGGGTGGCCCAGACTTTCTTTGTCTTCATCCTCCGGAGGATGGGGAGTGTACTTCCCCTGCCTCGCTGAGAAAAGCGCCAGTGGGTTGGGTGGGGCCGGGTCTGGGTCTGGTGCTAGGCCCCTGGGGGTCCTTCAGGTGCCCAGACAGGTGTGAAACGCTGCTTGGTCAGAGGGAGCCCCCGTGTAGAAGGATGCAGTCACTCAGACTGGAGGGATGTCTCAAAGCCCCGTGGTCAAACGCGGACAGACTCCTGCGTTGCTGCAGGAGATAGTTCAGCGTTACAAGGTTATGCGCACACTTGTACCGTTGGTCCTTTACTACGTTTGACATGAGATCCCAATTGGAAACTGAGGCCTGGAATGGGGGCCAGTGCAGACCAGGACTGGTACACAACCAGCTCTGCCCTGGGGACCTACTAAGGAGAACACTGTTGGTTGGGGGTCAACACCCCAAGAAGTCCCTTGGGTTCAGGACTTCCTTAGAGACACAGAAGCTGGTGTTGAGGGTCCAAATTCTGGGGGCCCCCCTACTCCCTTTGTTATTTTTGTAACAGTTTTCCCAAGCTTGTGGGTGGAAGGGTGAGGGGAACACTCTGAGCTTCTTAGATTGTCTCCTGCGGAAACCGCGTCGCAGGCGTGTGTGCGGTGAGACTGTAGTCTGGGAAGGCAGATGTGGAGAGGGAGGTTGTGCCGAGAGCTCCGCACGTGGGTGTGAGTGCGCTCGGCAACGTGGGGCTTCGGGGGAACGTGGGTCCGTGAGCTTTTCCTTTTCATCTTTGTGACCTAGAACTTGTGGAGCGTCACCAGCTGGTGCCTTGTGGGTACTGTGCTGAAAGGTGGTGATTGACTAGTTGCTGAAATGTAGGACTGGGGTGCTGTGTCGGGGCTCCGGGCAGGGGCCGCCTGTCTTCTGGAAGGCTTGGGAGCTGCAGTGTCGAGAATTGATCCACAACCTAACACTTCTTTCTCTCAACTCCCAAGTGAGATCCTTTGGTACTGAAGACCGTCCCACAGATAGGCCTGCTCCCCCGAGAGAGGAAATTTATGAGTACATCATTTTCCGAGGAAGTGATATCAAAGATATTACTGTGTGTGAACCTCCCAAAGCCCAGCACACACTCCCTCAGGATCCTGCTATCGTGCAAGTAAGTGTGTCACTGTCCTTCCGGGGGTACTGTTCTGAGAGATGCTGTTTTCCTTGTGTCATGGTTTGGCCAGAGTGCTCAACTTGAATAGTCTTCTAATGAAAAGGGGCTTGGGTTTTGTCGAGGCTGTTGACGTTGCGGCAGAAGGTGTTGGTCTGTGCAGCTTGCAGTAGGTAATGTGCTGTACGGCGTGGCCCCGGGAGGCGGCCTGTGAAACTCTCTGTAGGGGGTGGTGCTGGGTGGGGGGGGTGTGGTGGTGCGTTCTGTATGTAGTGTGAAGGGGTGGATGCTTCGGGCAAGGTGCTTGCCATTAAGTTTCTGGTTGGAGAAGTCCGAGCCCTTCGAAGCCTGGGTGAGCGGCACGAGGATGAGACACTAGCAGGGCAGCCGCGTCTGCTCACGCTGGCGCTGGCGGATTCGCCGTCCCAGCGCAACCTCTGCGAGTCTGGTGTCTCGCCCACCTGCTGGGTTCTGGCATATTTGGGCCAGGATTACCAGGGAGCCCAGGGTAATATTTTCTTGGCTTGTAAACTTAAATATTTGGTCTCTTTCTCTCTCTCTCTCCCCTCAATACAAAAAAATAAATAAATTTTAATATTCACTGGCTGTTGTGGGGTTCAGAGGGCACCAGCCTCTGGGACTGAGCCTACACCCTGGAAAGTAGGATCTGCAGGGTGGGCTCTGGGAGCACAAGAGAAGCCCCAGCCAGACTTCTGAAGGCTTGTGTGGGAGGGTTCTTAGGGACTTCAGAAGAGGAAGGTACCTGAGCCAGGCCTGAGGAACAGAGAGGAAGTAGCCAGGTGAACAGAGTGGGTGGAGGTCAGTCCCCAAACACACAGCAGTGCTCCCAAAGGCTGGGGTCCCCCCGGAGAGAAAATGGATGTCTGGGGAAGTCCGAGTCCTTTCCCAGCCACACTTCTGTGGTGGGTGTGGCAAATCAGGTGGCATTTTCCTCCTGTTACCTGATGGCAGTGGAGAGCCATTTGAGGGTTTTGAGTTAGGAGAAGTTAGGGTTAGAATTACGTGGACAGGTGGAGCTGGGAGTGAAGCACTGTGGAACAGGCAGCTTTTTCCCGTACTGGAAGCTCAGGCCCCTGAGGATTGCTCCAGCATCTCCGGAATACAGGCTGTCAGCAGGGTGTCCGCTTCCCATCTGAACGAGCGCTCTAAATGCAGAAGTTCGGGGTGACGGGATGGCCGTGCGCCACTCTCACCGTGTGTCTCGTTGTTCAGTCTTCCCTGGGCTCTGCCTCCGCCTCGCCCTTCCAGCCGCATGTGCCTTACAGCCCCTTCAGAGGGATGCCGCCCTATGGCCAGCTGGCGGCCAGCTCCCTGCTCAGCCAGCAGTACGCCGCCTCCTTAGGCCTAGGTGAGTAGCCTGTTTCTCCTTGGTAAGCCACGCCTGTTTGTGACTGCCAGGAAGTGCGTGCCAGATCCTGAGGGTGGGGAAGATGCTCTTGTCATGTTAAGCTCATAGACTGTATTTTAGTGGACACTTAATAAATTGCCCAGTGCAACTTTAGCTTATAAGAATGCTTAGTAACTACTTCACTGAGAGTAAAAGAGGCAGCAACGTGAGTTTTGGAACAGATGAATCAAATCAAAATTCATTTGAAATGTCAGTGTGGGTCTAGGTGGAAGTCCTGGTATATCTGCTTCAAAGAAGAAGTAATTGAGATAGATATTTCATATATATGTGTGTATGTATATATATATATGAAATATATTACAGATGATAGCACTGTGGGACCTGGAGACTAAAAAAGAAAAGATTACAGATAAGCTCTAGCTCTACACGTTTGTCAGCCCATCAGAAAGTTAAGTGTAACACCCACCTATTATGTCCTTTCTTCTGCTGTAAGTTCCTTGCTCAAAAATGGTTTCAGCCAAGGTTAAGTAACCAGCCCCAGGTAAGATCCTATTTTCAAGGTGTAACGTGAGAGTCCACCTTGTCCTTGGCCGGGACATAGCTTTGCAGTTGTGTTCAGGGCGTGGGGCTGGCAGGTGATCCGCCCATCCTTGCTCGGACTCCAGCATGAGGTGGCTGAGACAGCGAGCGCTGACTAGGCCTGAGACCAGTTCCTTGGGTCACGTGCTGCTACAAATCATGTTTGTCTTGATTGCTGTTCCCCGTGTGACAGGTGGCCTTCTCAGCCTGGCTCACTGTGTTTCTGAAATATGTTTGTGTGAGCACAGCCCTGTGAGAGGTTGCTTGGCTCTTTCCAAGCTTGCTAGACACAAGACAAGTATGTCCTGACTTATTTGTGTGCTTTCTTTTTTGCTCTTTCTCCTTTCTCTTCTTTTAGAGAAGTTGGTAAGCCCTCCAGCCTCAGCCGCTGCTTCCAGCCCTAGCTCCTCTCCATCTCCACAGCCCGTTTCAGAGCTTGACTTGTCCTCAGAGCCTCAGCAGCCCACTGCCAAGGGTAACCGCAGTTGGGGAGAACTGCATGCTGTCTTGCAAGCCGTCCCGAGAGCAAGGGGTAACCAGTAGTCAGAATGACAGTAGCTGGAGCAGGTCGTTGCCAAGCCTGGCGTTCAGTTGAGCTGCTTATTTGCTTCAACATACAGTCCTGATTTCGGATCTACCACAGTTTTAAAGATGGGATTAGAAAGAATCAGCAAAGTGCTTTGTTCACTCTCCCTGGGTGCAGGGTCTGTTTTGACTTGTGCCACAGAAAGCCACGTACCTGGGGTTTTGCTGGGTCCTACGCCTATTCTAGACGGTTGCGGTGGAACTCCCCAAGCACTTCAAGTGCCCATGCTGCTCTTTGATCTGTGTGACACATAGGTCTCCCTTTCAGGGCATTCAAAATTGGGGGCTTGGGTGACAGTCCCCAGCTGTTTGGCCACATGGGCAGTGTCAGCCTAGTGGCTGGCTTGCTAATACTGGTGTGCACCACCTGTCTCTGTGCTGGGGGTGGCGGCACCTCTGGGGTTTCCTGACAACTCTTCTCATTTACTGAGAAGTTCTTAAATTCACCTTGAGGACTCCTGTACATGTCTGTTTTATACATGGCACCGGGTGCTTTGCCACAAGCAGGGCCAGCACCATCACCGCGTCCTAGTCCAAGATAATGCCTGGGGCTTTCCTTGTGGCATGCACCTGCTGTCAGTCTGTCATTTGTGTGTGTTGCTTTCTGAATCCTGCATGGACTCCAGTGTGTCTAAGTTAAAGAAGTAGTAGTACTTTTGCCCACTTAAAATGACACTCGATCCTTTCATTGTTCTTAGGACCATTCACATAAAATTGCTCACAGGGCAAGACTGTTTTAACGGGTTTAATTTTGTAAAAAGCATACAAGCCCAAGATCCTTGTTCCATCCAGGCACAGTAAGCAGGAAGTAGTCGAAGGCAGGTTCGTCTCTCAGGGACGGTCACACTAAGTGAGGTGGTAGACAAGAGAAGGTGGTCCAGGTTAGTTCCTATCAGAGGAGACGTAGATACATGTACACGAAGCCATTCCCACCTGCTCTGAGGGATTCTATTGATCTAGTTACGAGGAGTTTGTCACCAGTAACTTTTCTAGTTTCTGTCGCATGTGCAGAGTAAGGTGAGGTACTCAGTCTTCGTCTGTGTTGGGCTGCTCCTCTAACAATAGTCACCCCATGGTCAGAGCTCATTTTCTCTGTCTCTAATCTCCGTCTGCCTCTACCCAGTCCCAAATTGCCCTGTTTGAAGAGTCGCACGGGTCCTGAACTTGGCAGAGGAAAGGGAGGAGGCGGGCAGGTGGGCTGCATTCCTCTCTCTTCCCTCCTGGTTCCGAGGGCTCGGTGTCTCATCGTTCATCTCGTGTGCTCAGGCCTGGGAGTGCCGTGTTTGGGCACAGCCTTACCAAGGGCTACCTGGGAATTCTTTGCTTCTTCGTGATGAGCCTTTACTCTTGGGAGAATTGCGGGGGCTGTCACTTTCTCTGAAGTCAGCTCTTATAACTTCATCCTTTTTAGTTTTATTATGCCTTAGGCAAAAAGGACAGTGTTCTAGAATTTAACTTAAAAGTCTGATTATTGCGTTTTCTAGAAGATGCCAGGCTGGGCTGGTTCTTCTCTAGTGTGGACCAGAATGATTCTCAGGTCCTGAATTCAGTGTCTCAGGACTGAGCCCCTTTAGGGTTAGAGCTCACGTAGTTCTGGGAAAGCTGTACCTAAACCACTGGGGAAAATGCCTGTTTATAGGCGCGGTGGTTTTTCCCTTCCTCAGGGTTCCCTAACTCAGGCAGCTTGGGGTGCACAGAGATGAACAGGCCTGCTTTTGCTGCCTGGCTTAGCCTCAGAGGGAGTGGCCCAGTCTGGGGGAACTTGGCTGGAGTTTGGTAGAATCTCTAGGCGGTTGCCCTCCTTTCCTCCCCAAAGTGCCAGCCAGAAGAGAAGTGGCTGGAGGTGTGAGACTACTTTTTTCTCTGTTTGTAAACCCTCCTTCCCTCCTCAACTCAGGAGCTGGTTTTCCATCCATCCCGGTTGGCAAGAGCCCCATGGTGGAACAGGCTGTCCAGACCGGTTCTGTTGATAACCTGAACGCCAAAAAGCTGTTACCCGGCAAGGGTACCACAGGGACGCAGCTCAGTGCTCGCCAGGCCCAGCCAAGCAGCAAGACCGCCAGCGGTACTTGAATACTTCTTCCCTAAAGTTTGCTCGATGTTCTAAAAATGGCATACTACTTCCTGGTTTTTTTTTTTTTAATTAAAAAATACAGTGCTCCCATCCTAAACCCCACATGCTTTTGCAGGGAAGGCCCGTGCAGCAACCTCTCGCGGTGCCGCCTCTTGCTGCATGCCCCGTGTGGTGGTGGTCCCCTGCTTCCGCGGCTGCGTTCTGGCTTCTGCAGGAGCTTCGCCTGACTCTTCCCTTTTGCGCCTTAGATATAGTCCAGCCGGCAGCTGTGCAAACTCAAGGGCAGGTGAATGACGAGAACAGAAGACCTCAGAGGAGGCGATCAGGTAACACCTGTTGCCATGTGACTTCTGGGGAGCCACACGTGATCAGATTGAGCTTTGCTTTCCCCCCTCCTGCCTGCATCTCTGGTGACAGTTTCAGGGGTGCTGGGGTGCGGTTGCTGCTTGTGTGCTCTGCCCCTGTGTCATTGTCTCTGACGCATGCCTGGAAACTGCTCGTGAAGTCAGCCGGAGAGCGGTAGGTCTGGGGCCTGCTTCAGCTGCGGCTGTCCTGTCTCCTCACAGGGAACAGGCGAACCAGGAATCGCTCCAGAGGGCAGAACCGTCCGACGAATGTCAAGGAAAACACAATCAAGTTTGAGGGTGACTTTGATTTTGAGAGTGCAAATGCTCAGTTCAACCGAGAGGAGCTTGACAAAGAATTTAAGAAGAAACTGAATTTTAAAGGTCTGACTCATGAAAATTATCATCCCCTCCAGAGTGTCCCTAGAGTGTGTTAGGAAGAGATGACTGGGGCCACCCGGGCAAGCCAAGCGGGTGGTGACCAGTCTGGAAAGCGTGTCTCAAGGAATTGATGGGCTGAGTTGTTTGTGGGGGAGGTGTGAGAGCAGTCACTGTGGGGTAAGTGTGGACTGCACACCCCAAGGGCAGAGTGAGACCAACGGTTAGAAGTTAGGAGAGCTTTGCACTTAGCATAGCATGCTCAGGTGAAGGTCGTGCTGGAGGACGGCAGCCGAGTGGACCTGGGGAGGGCCCACCCTGCGTGGGAGTGAGTGTGGTTCCTTCTCCTGCACCTACTGTGTTCTGCTTCTCTTTGTAGATGACAAAGCTGAGAAGGGGGAAGAGAAGGACCCAGCTGTGGTGACCCAGAATGACGAAACTCCTGCTGAGGAGGACCTTCTGGGGCCCAACTGCTACTACGACAAATCCAAGTCGTTCTTCGACAACATCTCTTCTGAACTCAAGACCAGGTGAGAACCTGATTGCACTGATGGGAAGATAGTCGTTCTGCAAGTCTCAAAAGGACAGGACTGACATCCTCTGACCTGGAATCCTAAGCTCAGGGCACATGTTTTGGGATCCTGCTCACACTTCTGCATGGTAGATACATGAGTGCCAGTCGGCACCTGCCTGGAGCCAGCGGTAGGTTGCATCAGAGGAAGCCGTTGCCGGTCACTTGACCCGAGGGTCTGACTGAGCTTGAGTCTATTTGCTCCTAGCTTTGCTGCCCCATCCCCACTAAGGCTGGTGGCACCACTCCTGGTAGGTTCCAGGGTAAGCACTGCTTCTCCTCACCTTGGCCTGATTGCTGGTCCTGCTTCCCTGGGGGCCTGAGGACCTTGCTACCTGAGCCAGTAGCTTTCTTCACCCGGTTGTTCGAGGCTGGGGATCATTTCATGTGTCTTGTTGGAGCTATAACAGATGTTTCCGGGCGGTTGGAATATCAGATAAAGACCAATCAACTTCATAAGATGTACAGACCTGCATATTTGGTGACCTTAAATGTAGAGAATGATGATTCCCGAACCTACCCAGAGATTAGTTTTAGTTGCAACATGGAACAATTACAGGACTTGGTGGGGAAACTTAAAGATGCTTCGAAAAGCCTGGAAAGAGCAACTCAGTTGTAGCTTGGGAAAGTTAACGATCCGCCCAAAAGGGTAGAGAAACACCAGAAACGCCTTGCCTTCAGCCGAACCATCCTTTGTGCGAGCTGGATCCTCCTTTCCAGTAGAAAAAAATTTTCCTTTTGAATTTATGCCATTCATCAACTTTAACACTTTTTTTACACGTGTGTAAGGGTTAAGAGGGAAATGCTGCCCAAGTATTTGAGTCATCTTTTGTACCTGTACAATTATCCTATTTTGATCTTTTTCAAGTGTTATGAAAGGAAGCAGACAGCGTTACACTGTGAATAAATAAGGTGTTGTTTGCACACACACACACAAAAAAATAAAGACACTGGTCCTCAGATGCTGCCTCCATGAACAACCCGGACAGTAAGTGAAGTCTAGGGAACGGGCATGGTATGGAAACAGAGGCCCATTTGTCCTGCAGGTTGAGCACCAGACACACCACAGGGCAGGGAGGACACAGCAGAAAACAGCTGGGCGATCCCCACGCCCACGTTCTACCTGGGAGAAAATAAACAAAATACAAGATAACTGTGTGTTGAGGATGCCAGCAGTGCAGGAGTGGGCGCGCTGTGGGTGTAACAGTGCATGGTCAGGTCGCACAGACGAGGCAGGTGTGTGAGGAGTGAGAAGCTTCTCTGGGTGGGGCCACAGCCTGCCACGTGGCTAGAGCCGAGTCTGGCTGGCAGGATGGTTTCTGTTGGGATTTGTAGGTCATGGTAATGAGTTTGGCTTTTGTTCTGGGCACCGCGGAAGCCATGGGTTTTGAGCTGAGGAGTGGTGCAGGCTGCCATGTTACGGCATCCTTGGTGAGGGAGGGCTGAAGGTGGGCCAGCCTAGAAGCCTGACGACCTGTTAGGAGGCCAGTGTGGCCGTGCAGGTGTCTCGGGATAGAGTGAGTGACGGTGGTGGCAGAGGGGAGTGGAGTGTGACTGTTTTGAAGGTGGCACTAACGGGATTGGCTGATAGGTATGAGGAGTTCAGAGTGACTCAAGTGTTCTGGCCCGGGCAGCTGAAGGATGAGGTTGCTATGTCTTTGAACATGGAAGCCTGCGAGAGCAGCAGGTCTCTGGCTGAAGCGCAGGACCTGGCGAAGGGTGTGCTGGGCGGGGCTCAGCACAGGAGATGCTGGAGCTCGTCTCGGCCCGCAGCACGTCTGGACGGTACAAGTGTTGGTGCTGTGTCCCGTGCCCCCATCCCCTAGGCAGAGGCATCACATTCTCGGGAATGTCTCTGTGACCAGCCCACTCCTCATCAAGCAGGGCCCCTGGGCCTCCGCAGTGTTCCCTCCTGTACCCAGTGGCAGCGGGGGCTGCTTTAGTAGCTGACTGGTAGCAACTGCTCACCTTTGGTGACAGAGATGTGAGAGTTTCCAGCTGAGCAGCCCAGTCCACAGTGAGGAACTGAGATGTGGCCGGGAGCACCTGCACTGTGGGGTCTCAGGCTCCCGTGCTGATGGGGCCCCCTCCTCCCCATAACAGCTCTGGTAACGCCTGTGCTTCCTTCCCTGGGCAATGCTGAGGACGAAGCCTGGCTCGGGAACCTGAGAGTGGGTGCCTGCTGCAATTGGAATTTCATCTGGGGTTTAGTTCCAGGCGGACGACGTGGGCTGAAGAGAGGAAGCTCAACACAGAGACCTTCGGGGTGTCAGGGAGGTTTCTACGTGGCCGCAGTTCCCGGGGTGGATTCCGAGGAGGCAGGGGCAACGGTGCCACCCGCCGCAACCCCACTTCCCACAGAGCTGGGACGGGCAGGGTGTGAGGACGCAGCTGAAGGTGAGCAGGGGAAGCTTCTGGGTGCTTTGGTGGGAGGGTGCAGGGACAGGTGTGCCCAGGTGGAGTGTAGGGGCAGGGAGCAGGCTGGCTCCGCTTCCCGGCGAGGAGAGGCCCCAGGTGTCCAGGAATCACCTGGGGGATCTAGGCCCCAACGCAGCCAACTACGATGACTCTTTCCGGACAGGACCTGGGCCAGCATCCCACGGGTGAGATTCCAGGTGCGGGAGGGTGAGGCCACGGTGGGGGTTTGTGGGCCAGCTGCTTGCTACTCGACTACAGTGACTGAGAGCCTGCTGCAAAGCCAGTGTCTCTGTCCCAGCCCCCCTGGCCCTGCCCTAAATCGGAGTCTGCACTTTTAACAAGGTCCTAGGTGACTGTGCACCTTGGGTCTGGGCCTGGCATCCCACGTGGGTGCCTGGTACTGACTCACTCCCAGCCAGGTGGGACCTGCAGGGTTAGGGCCTCTTGCCGCCAGCCAGGCACCTGTGTCCCCAGCGTGTTGTACAACTATGGTGCTTAGCGTGGGTTGTGGGAGGAAAGTGGGAAGCCCGGCCAGGCTCTGGGAGGATGGGAGGGGGCTTGAGCGTCGCCTGCTCTGCAGGCAGCAGTGCCTGGCTTGCCTGGTTGGCTGCTTGACAAGGCTCTCGAGTGCATTCACTGCCCGTCTCTTCCCACAGGCCCCTGCTCGAGTGGCACAGAAACGCCGCGTGTGTATCAGGACACAAGGAAAACAGAGCACTTACGGGGAGAAGTGGGTCACTTTGTTTACGGAGTTTGGAAAATTCCCATCCTGCTACGTATGTTTTGGGCTTAACTGAACTTGGTCTAAGTTAGAACCACTTGTTTTGGGGAAGTATTCATGGGTGACCTCTTTGAGGTGTCTTGAACTATGTTTCCTGTTTAGTTGTGCGTAGCCTAAGTCTAAGGTCTTGGTATTTTGCAGAAAGGTTTCTATAGGGAAAACTTGATCCTCACTTTATTATTTTTTTTTTGTGACAGCTTCGACTTTTAAAGTGGAACCAAATCTCAGTTTGGCAAATGTGGCAGCCAAGGGCATCTCTGTAACCCAGCTGGCCCTGGTGCTGCTGGCGTGGCACCCCCACTGCCGAGGATAGGGTCTCAGGAGCAGGCAGGGCCAGCACAGGGTGGTGTGGGGCGGGTGGGCCGAGGGCAGGGAAGGGGTGTCCCATGGATCATGTTGTATAAGCAAACCAGCCTACCCTGACATGTCCAGAGTGGTGCTGTCCAGGGTGGGGGCTGGAAGGACTCGGCGCGGTGGGAGGGACCCTGACATTAGGTGTGGAGCTGTCACAGGGAGCCCAGCCTGCGTAGGCATCGAGGTGGGTCAAAGCCCAGGGCGAGCCCCCGTGGCATCCCATGGCCCTTCTGGCCTGGGCCAGCCAGTCGGTGTTGGACTCGGGCCGAGCACTTGGGTGTTCTCATCCACTTGGAAATGAGCCAGTCTTTTGCAAGGTCAGTTGACCAAGAGCATATTTCCCTCCATTGTAAATAGTTGTGTTTTTGTTTTAAAGGCAGGTGGTGGGAGGGTGGGGGCTATAAATTTGCTGCATGAGTGACTAGGTCAGAACCTTAGTGTAAGCATGCATCCTTCTGACTGACAGGGCATTTTGTTGAAAATAAGCACCTTGGTAACTAAGACCCCTTTAATAGCTATAAAGGCTTTAGTTCTGTATTAAGTTACTGTAAAAGCTTGGGTTTATTTTTGTAGAACTTAATGGCTAAGAATTAGAACACAGCAGTGGGGCTCCTCTGTTGGAGTAATGTAAATTGTAATTATAAATAAACACGCAAACCTTTAGAATGTTCTTCTCTGATGCTCTAAGAGTCCTATTGACTCTGCTGCCCGAATCACCTCTGCGTCACGTCCAGGTCTGGAGCACACTTGCGCCAGTAGGATTTGGGAAGGCTTGGGTCCTGTCTGGCACTTGAAGTGTGGGGAGACAGCCTGGCTGCTCACCATCTGCTGCCCTTCTGGGATGGGGGCTCCGTGGTCCACAAACTGGATGGAGACCAGTTCACAGCCAGGCCTGTTCCTAAGCGGCCCCTCCGCCACCCTCAATGCAGCTTCCAAGCTCCCTGGGAGCATTTATATTCTCAGGCCCCTGAGAATCCACTATCGGGCTGCCTCCTGGGACCACCGAAAAGGAGAGACTTGGCTTGTTTTAGGCTAAAGATACCCCTTTCACCGTAGGGGTTTCCAGGTAACGTTAAAAGCAGTCTCAGACGACTGGAGGCGCGTCTAGTCAGCCTCCACAGCGGAGACCAGCAGCAGGCAGCCTGTCTTTCTTTTGGGCAACTGATATCCTTGGCCAGTAAAAATAAATCTTCCTTGGTATTCACGCTCAGTGCAGGTAGCCACAGCCTTAACCCTAGTTAGTTAAGTGACGTAGCAGTTAACTAAACAGAAATTGCCCGCTAGAGGATCTAAATGTCAGGTCATAGTTTACCACCTGTCAACCTGTGACTAACCTTGCTGTTTAAAATTTTTTTTTTTGAGACAGAGTCTTGCTCTGGTCACCCAGGCTGGAGTGCAGCGGCAGCATCATAGCTCACTGCAGCCTCAAATGATCCTCCTGCCTCAGCCTCCCAGGTAGCTGGGACTGCAGGCATGTGCCACCACACCTGCTAATTTTTCTTTTTTTTGGTAGAGATGGGGTCTCGCTCTTGATCAGGCTGGTCTAGTCTTTAAGTCAGTCTCAAGTAATCCTCCCACCTCAGCCTCCCAAAGTGCTAGGATTACAGGTGGGAGCCACCACACTGATACTGTTAAAATTTCAAAGCAACGACAGTTTTGACAATTATACATTTTATGCTGAGCTTAAAATGTATCTGGGCCCCTTTACCCCTTTTAGAAGATATATACCAAAAATGCAAGAGGGGCTATCAACTGAGGCAGGCAGCACAGCAGTGCAGCGGGACCGGCTACCCGAGGAACCGGCAGGCCCTCTGTGCGCCCCCTCAGCTCAAGGGAAGTGAAAGAGCCCGACTTCGACTGCCGCTGTGCTGGAAGCCAGAAGGGCACCTTTTGGGCCAAATAGCGGGGCGTGGGGTGGGGGTGGGTAGGAAATAGCCAGAACCAGAGTCTTAAGGAGGAAAACGTGACAAACATTAAGACATGATCTATTGAAACCAGAAATGTAAAACTACTTTTGAACATGGCTGCTCTGCAGAATTTCTAGTGGAAGACTCAAACTTAGCACTGCTTGTGTCCTCTGACATCACGCCTCAACTGGGGACTTAAACAAAGGCTTAAAAGCAAATGGAAAGTCATTCTGTCTACAATGCCAGAAACTAGGGTCCCCTGAATGCCAGTTCCTTCACAGCACCCAAAGCAGTTGTGACCCTTCGAGGGGGAACCCCTAGCTCCAATAACGGGCACGTCGTCTTAGAACCTGGCCACGAGGAACCGCAGGGGAAGCTCAGATACAGAAACCGAGTGGGAAAGACCCCACTTTCTAAAGAACTATCGTGTTACACCTAAAGATGTACATTCTCTTAAAAAGGTTAAAAAATATGTAAGTTTATTGTAGGACACTCAGTATGAATACGTGATAAATGGAATGGAAATGCCTACACATCATTGAGACTCAACCATGATTTGAATTTAAAAATTATTACAAGGAAATCTGATTTCATCATGATGCTTTCTTTTGTTTCTTCTTCTCGTTTTCTTCTTTTTCTTTTTCAATTTCAGCAACATATTTCTCAATTTCTTCAGGATTTAAAATCTACCAAAAAAAAAAAGGCGTTTACAGTTAGCCAGCCAGCCACACAAGGTGCCGAGGCACGAGCGCCTTCCTGTGGTGAGGGCCGCGGCGTGGGCATGGCACAGCCACTCGTACAGCCTCTGGAGAGACGCCAAGGAAGACCAGGCAGTGTCTGCCCGACCCAGGCGAGCACTGAGAGCAGCAGCAAACCTCCAGTTGTTGGCAACCGTTGAGTGTGCCAAGACAACACGCAAATGCTATCTTTAACCAGACGGGAAAACAGAAATGACTCCTTTTAGACATCAGTGGGGAGCCTTGGAAAGACACTTTCCTCATGTTAAAACCACAGAATGCCCCCATGACATTTCCTTCCAAACAGGTACTACCTGGCCCTGAGCGTGGAAAAACATCCACAGGCAAAGAAAGCAGACGCACTGGGTGGGTGATTACCTTGAGAGGTTGATCTCTCCTCATGACAGCAAGTTCTATGTTTTTGCCACCTGACTGAACCACCTTGAAGGGGAAGAAAGAAGCATTAGATACCTCTAGCCACTCGAGACCAAAGCAGCTCTTGCGAGTCCTTTAAATAGGGTGTGTACCCAAACCCAGCACTGCCACGAGGAGGGAGGGCCCAGCACCCGAAGCCTCTGTCCTAACTGCAGTTCCACTTGTGAAGCCCCATTGGGCTGCCCCCTGGGACTCTTCTGGGGGCTCTTCTCTCTCGCACGGCGGCTGTGCTTGTGGCCCTCCCTCCACACACGTGGCTACTACCATGACCCCACGCCTGCACTCCGCTCCCTTCTGGCTACCCCACCCCGGCCTCGTTGGCTTCACTTGCCAGCACTTTCAAGGTCTTAACGAGGCCCAAGACTTCACAACCCCAACCATCATCCCCATCTTTTCTCTCCATTTCGTGGCTCAAGCCTGGCACGTAGCTAACTCCAGCATCCGGCGCTACTGTCGCGCCCACCTGCCTTGTCACCTACCCATCAGTCACCACCCGTGTGGTGCCTTTACCGCCTTGTGAATGTGAAAGCGCACTTACCTCCAGGAGCGCCTTGATCACCAGCTTAATGGTCAGATCATCGGTTTCAATGGCTTCGTCAGTATAGTTCTTCTCTAGGAACTCACGCACTGACTTGGCACCCCGGCCTATGGCATTGGCCTGAAACAGACACTGGTGTTCTCACATGGCCCAGGGTGCAGCAACCCAGAGCCAGTCCGAGAACATGGCCTGCCCGTGGGCTGGCCAGCCTCTACCTGCCTCCTGTTCCCCAGGCCCTAGCCCCCCGGCTTCCTTTGCAAAGAAGCATTTAGAATTAGTGCCGATTCTTATCAAGAATGAGGTTATACTTTTTATTTCATTATCAAGACAAGCAAGATTTTGGTTTGTATCCTTACACTTTGCTGCCCTTTGATTTTTCTCTGAAATGGCAATGTTGAATGGTTTCTTTGCTCTACTGTCAGAAGTGTCATGGAACAAACACATGCACGTAGGACCAGGTTAATTTGATCTGTCGCCTGTGTACTGATGCGGGCCCTACGGCAGGAGGCCCAGAACCTCTCAACGGCCTCTAAAGCCCTCTTTCCAGTAAGACTGCCCGAAGCTCCTTTGTTTCCTCACGACTCACCTTCCAGGCATGGTATGTGCCCGAGGGGTCAGTCTGATAGAGTCTGGGGGTGCCATCAAAGTCGAAACCCACAATGAGGGCTGAGATACCAAACGGCCTGCGCCCATTGCTCTGTGTGTAACGCTGGCAGGAAAAGAAAAGATCAGTGCTGTCAACCGCAAGAAAACACATGTGATGGAACTGTACTTAGCGAAGATACAGAAATATTTTAAATCGCTGAGCCCACTCCCAGGTTATTAGCAATTCGAATGATAAATAAAATTAGCCAATAGCTTTCAATAGCCTTTTCCTTTCTGCACTTTCACGCCTACGAGACCTGCCTAGAATTGCACCAGGAAGCACACCTAGGCCACTGGAAATTACTCTGATGGGCAGACGTACGTTCTGGCGACACGTTGGTTTTAAAGATGAATGGCATTTCACCATAGAGTGTGGGTGGCTGTCAGCCCCCTCCAAACTGCTTGGTGACTGACTGGACATTCAGAATGGCAAGACAAGAACTATCATTTCCCTCCCAACACAAGAATTTAGACCGGCCCGTATCAGGCAACGAGAACAGAACAGTGCACTGAAATGGATGAACTTGATCAAGCCACACGTGTACAAGAGCAGG